CATTATTTTGAGACCTGATTTAAACACAAAGGGACATTTAATAAAGAAATAAATTTGAATATGGAGTTTAATCTGCTCATTATTCATTTTAAGTTTCTCCCTATTAGAGCACAACTTTCAGGTATTGTTACATGCTCGAGCTTGTTGAATCTCAAATCTGTACAATAAATGTAAACATACGTACACCATCTTTTATCAAATATATCCGACACATAGTAAGGAGGAGAATTCAGGTCTTTAGCCAGGAAAGACCTAACATGTTCTATCAAGTGAACTAACTCTCATTCCCTTGAGGACAATTGCTACTTAGAGGGGCAGATAAAGTTTTCCATAAGTAACGTGATTGGTTTAAGATCTTTATGCTGACAGAAATCCTAAAAATCTTGATTACCTACAGCATTACATTTTGAAGAGCCAAAACTCACAATTTCTTTTCCTTTGGTCTTCTGAATTGGCAGATATTTTTCAAGTAATTTGTTGACCTAGAGACTTAATATGGTCTATATCAGTGATGGGTAAGCTTTTTGCCATCGTGTGCCAGGAGGGGTGAGCGGGGTGTATGTGTCACGTGCACGTGTGCCCACACCCATAATTCTATGTGCCCCGTGCATGCGCATGTGACCCGCCCCCGCTCCTGCCACGCAATGGCCCAGTAGGCTCATTTTTCCCTGTCATCTGGCTCCAGAGCCTTTCTAGGAATCTGGGGAGAGTGGAAACAGCCTTTCCCACCCCCCGGAGGCCCTCCGGAGATTGAAAATGGTCTGTTTGCCAACTTCCTGTCCCACCGGAAGTTTGCAAATGGGCCGTTTCTGGCCTCCAGGGGTGGTGGAGAAGGCCATTTTTGCCCTCCCCAGACTCCTAAAAGGCTCTGGAGGCTGGGGACAGCAAAAAAATGGGTCTTCCCCACCACCACCTTCCAAGGCCCTCCACAGCCTGTTTCCCTACTTCTGGTGGGCCCAGAAGGCTGTGCCAGAGTTGAGCTCACATGCCCAGTGATATGGCTACGCATTCTAGGCTTCATAAACAGAGGGTTAGACTCAAGATCACGTGAAGTGTTAACACCACTTTATAATGTCTTGGTAAGGCCACACTTGCAATACTGTATCCAGTTTTGGTCACCACGATGTAAAAAAGGTATTGAGATTCTAGAAAGAATGCAGAGAAGAGCAACAAAGATGATTCGGGGACTGGAGGCTAAAACATATAAAGAACGTTTGCAGGAACTGGGTATGTCTAGTTTTATGAAAAGAGGGACTAGGGGAGACTTGATAGCAGTCTTCCACTATCATAGGGGCTGCCACAAAGGAGAGAGTCAAGCTATTCTCCAAAGGACCTGAGGGCAGGACAAGAAGCAACGGGTGGAAGCTAATCAAGGAGAAAAGCAACTTAGAACCAAGAAGAAATTTCCTGATGGAACAATTGATCAGTGGAACAACTTGCCTCCAGAAGTTGTGAATGCTCCAGCACTGGCAAATTTTAAGAAAATGTTGGATAACCATTTGTCTGACATGGTGTAGGGTTTCCTGTCTAAGCAGTGGGTTGGAATAGAAGACCTCCAAGGTCCCTTCCAACTCTGTTATTCTATTCTATTCTATTCTATTCTATTCTATTCTATTCTATTCTATTCTATTCTATTCTATTCTATTCTATTCTATTCTATTCTATTCTATTCTATTCTATTCTAATTCTATAGAATGCCACTTCTGTATATTGGTTTTACTTCATCACATGGCAACCAAAGAGCCCACCTAGCAGACTCATCTAGCTGTTACAGAGGAACCAACACCATATGAATACAGTAGAACACCACATAACAGGAACCCAGGGCAGGATCTCTCCCCAAATCACCACTGAATGGAATGTACCCCAGGAAAAAGGTGGCAAAGCAGCATAACACAATGCTGCCCATTCTAATCATGTGAGTTGATACAGAAGGGAAGAATGGTTGCTTGTTTTGAAAAGCACATTGATCTAAAAAATGGGGGCCTGACCTCAAAGACCTAAAGATCTATCCATTTCTTCAGGCTCCATGGGTTCAAATGATTCCTAGATTCCTAGAGCAAGACTCCTCCAAAGGCATCAGCCCCCCACCTGGACCTGTAATAAGGCCGACCGCAACTGCGAACATATTTCAGCAAGTTTTGTCTGATAGATGCAAATTTGATTTGAAGTCTCATCTTTGAATCTTATTCCAAATAGTGAACAGTGCTTCAGATGAACCATGCAGCATGAACAACCCCCCAGCTCCCCCTGAAACCCATCCAGATCCAGTTCAGTAAACATGGGGTAGAATAATCTAATGGGCACATTCTCCCTGAAGTGGTGGTAGAGAATTTCATAATAATAAGGGCACGAGCTGACTATGATAAGGGAATCACAAAGATAGCCCTCAATTCCATATCAGAGAGCTACAGGAACACCAGATCCTGTGGGTGGCCATTGCCCTATTCAGGCTCTGGATGATCTGGGATAGATCTATGGCCGTCATGATGTCCTTTGACTTCTGACCCTCATTGTACTCCACTCTTAGAGAAGGCCGATTGAAGTCTCCCATGAAATGGATTCAACTAATCAGAGATAGAAGTTGCTCTTAGTAAATAATTAAAAGGAGGGGAAAAGATTTTCAGAGCACTAGCCAGTCCCAAAGCTGTTTGCTCCTTTATGCCCACAAGGAAGGCTGCTGAGCCTTCTTTTCATGCCTTCCAGTGGTGAGGAGTGTCCACCTCACTTATGGGGGGAGAATATTCCACAGGATTGGGTCAACAATAGAGAAGGCTCTCTTACTGGATTCCACCAGTATGAATCTTTTGGCTGACAGAATCCCCAACATACTTTTCCTGCTTGATATGATGGGACAGGCAATGGGATGAAGACCGTTCCTTAGGTAACCATGCTCTATGCCAAGTTACACACTGCAATGTCCCACAATCATACAATTGTCATCTTTGAGAAGGAAAATCAATGGGGAAGTGAGTGGGAAGTTACAAATTGAAATCTCAAGACCACAGAATGCTGCCACTTCACAGGATTGTTCTCATAATGTGCCAGAAATGCTGTGACGTAAATTGAACACATCTCTTAGTTCTTGGTCCCAATTAATTTCTGTGAGTGAGATTACTTAGATTTTCTTTCTCAAGCTCATGCTTGAACAGAAATAAGACATGAAAAAAATATTAAGGGCCATATTTCAAACTTTATCAAATTCTGATTCAGATTGAACCTTAACATCTATCACTGACATAAAAACTTCTGCAGGTCATGCACTCTGCAACCCTGTGCTAGGATGAAATGGCAGGTCCCAGGTTAGAAATGGCCTTTAGATTGATGGTCTAGGGTATAGTGGCAACCTTATACCTAATGAGAAAGTAAAAGAGCAAGGGATCCACATAGATTGGTGGCCCTATTTACAAATTAAATCCCGTTATAGTAAGGATAAACAAGAAAAGAGAATAGAGATGGGGACAAATAGTTTGGATAAGGTATGGCTAGGTAGTGAGAACAAACTATTAGCTAAATTATACTCCTACCTTCTCGAATACGACAGAGAAGGAGAAATATTAAAAGACGAAATTATTGCTTGGGGGAAAAACATCGAATCTAAGATAAATCTTGATGATTGGGAAGAAATATGGAATAGCAATCTTAAACTGACGAGAGCAACAAGTTATAAGGAAAATCAGTATAAGATGCTATATAGATGTTACCTAGCACCATCTAGAATTGCTAAGATCTACCCAAATGCAAGCCCCAAGTGTTGGAAATGTGGTCACCACCAAGGTACCTTCTACCACATGTGGTGGATGTGTCCGGAAGCAAGGAAGTTTTGGGAAAAAATACAAAAATGGATCCAAGAAATATTAAAGGAGGACATTAACTTCCTCCCGGAAATCTATCTCCTGGGAATGCTAAAACGAGCATTTGGAAAGGACAAGAAATACCTGATTATTCATATTGTCACAGCTGCTAGACTATGCCAGATATTGGAAAGAGAAAAAAGGACCAACCGAGGAACAGATAGTCAATAAGATACTTGACTGCGCAGAAATGTGCAGATTAACGTATGTGTTAAACGGAAAGGAGGATTCAGAATTTTATGCGATCTGGGATCTGTGGTATAGGTGGTTAGAAATTAAATGCAAAAGTTAATACTCATGTGGAATAATGCACAACGATTAGATAACCCTATATATTATTGTACTTTAATTAAACAGTAATCAATTTTACTCATAAGAAGTTTTGTACAAACTGTATAAATGATTAGATAATTGACTAGATACCGCACTTGTAAATATACAATATGACTACACGTTGCCGAACTGTTTAGTTTGAATTGTAATATATTCTTAATTCAATAAAATTGCATTTAAAAAAAAAAAAGACATGAAAAAAATATTAAGGGCCATATTTCAAACTTTATCAAATTCTGATTCAGATTGAACCTTAACATCTATCACTGACATAAAATCTTCTGCAGGTCATGCACTCTGCAACCCTGTGCTAGGATGAAATGGCAGGTCCCAGGTTAAAAATGGCCTTTAGATTGATGGTCTAGGGTATCTTAATCATCCATGTTACTAAATGACTTGCAAAATATCTGCTATTCAGAGAAACAGGTCAAGAAGTTTTGAATTTCCACTGTTCAGAATCTACAATTGTGAGCACTCAGGTATTATATGTAACTTTTCATTCCTGTTAGCAAAATGATTCTGTAGAAGATTTTTTTTTATTCTTAATAGCAATTTTCCTTTAGGGAACCAACGTTATTGTCACTTCATAGAATGCTATAAATGTTTCCTAATTATGAAACTCTGCGCATGATTTTTCCTCTTGAACATGTTTCAGAGATGTTTGATATAAGATTGGGTTGAAACGATGATGACACAAAGCTATGTTCAGATTTACAGTACTGAAACTTCAGCATGCAATGAACCCTACATTTTTTGTTGGAGTGGGGGGAAATAGCACAGAATCAGTGAGAAAATTGAACTTCATATTCAGAGTTATTTCTTGATTAATTGCCCCTTTATATTCAAATCAGGCCTCAGAACAATAATATAACATTTGGGGGAAAAGATGCAACCCAATAATCCAGCTGCAGAAGCCAAAATGGAAAAGATCTCCACAGCCACCATGTATTTTCCCTTGGTGCTCAGATAGGTGGGAACAAAGGATATCCAGACACTACAAAAGACCAACATGCTAAAGGTGATAAATTTGGCTTCATTAAAGCTGTCAGGTAACTTCCTAGCTAGAAAGGCTACTGAGAAGCTGATAACAATCAGGAATCCCAGAAAACTAAGAACAATATAAAACATAGTGGTTGAACCTTCATTACATTCTAAGACAATTTCTTCAGCCATGGAGTGCATATCAGAATCTGGGAAGGGGGGAGAAATTGCCAGCCACACTAAACAGATCATGAGTTGAGTCAAGGAGCAAGAAAGGACAATAGAAAGAGCCATCCTTCTCCCCACCCATTTCTGCATTTTGGAGCCTGGCTTTGTGGCCATGAAAGCAAGAACAACTATGGTTGTTTTACCCAAAATGCAAGAAAGGGCTATGGAGAAAATGATACCAAAAGCAGTTTGTCTCATGAGACATTTCACGTGATCCGGTTGTCCAATGAAAAGGAAAGTGCAAAGGAAGGAGAGCAGAAGGGCAATGAGAAGGATGTAAGTGAGGTTCCTGTTGTTGGCTTTGACAATGGGGGTGTCCTGCTTTTTAATGAAGATTCCCAGCACCGCAATGGTGATGACAGAAAAGAAAAGACTAACACTGGTCAAGGTGAGTCCCAGTGGCTCATTGTAAGAGAAGAAGGTTATTTCTTTTAGAATGCAAAGAGTTTGAGCCTTGTTTGGATATTGATCTTCTGGACATTGGAAGCAATCAACTGCATCTGGAAAAAGAAAAGTTGATGGCCAATTTCAAGAAATAGTCATGAAGCAGAACTGAATGTTAATTAAGGGGATTGATTTATTCCTAATTGAGCAATGCCTGTTTGCATTTAGTTCCTGACTATAAATGTGCCAGATGTTCAGAAATTTACATATTACTTGGCAGTAATTCTCCTATTATAAAATCTAATAATGATTTGCCTAATAATCTCATATCGGGGTGCTTATATTGGTGCTTTCTGAGCTTGGTTGTTTTCTTCCAAATGTTTCATTATGCAAAATAGGCAACATCATCAGTGTCAGTCCTAGACTAGCACTGATGATGTTACTGAGTTTGGGTAATGAAATGTCTACAAGAAAACAACCAAGTTTAGAAACCACCAATGACTCCTATTTCAACCCTGACTTGCAGATATTCTCCATTATTAGAATATTTTATCATTTAGACCTTTTTTTGGAAATAATGAAAAGCAAAAATATGTTTCCATTAAGAGGAGGAAAATGTATACTATGTGGTATATTATTATTTAATGGGATTAAACTCCTAAATTCAGCAACTGCAATCCAGTTCTATTCCTTTCCTTTTATACACATACTAACACAGGAGGGATGCGGTGGCTCAGTGGCTAAGACACTGAGCCAGTGGTGGGATTCAACTAATTTAACAACCGGTTCTCTGCCCTAATGATTTCTTCCAACAGCCAGTTCACCAAACTGCTCAGAAAGTTAACAACCGGTTCTCTCAAAGTGGTGCGAACCGGCTGAATCCCACCACTGCACTGAGCTTGTCTATTGAAAGTTTGGCAGTTCAGCAGTTTGAATCCCTAGTGCTGCCTTATGGGGTGAGCTCCCGTTACTTGTCCCAGCTTCTGCCAACCTAGCAGTTCGAAAGCACGTAAAAAATGCAAGTAGAAAAATAGGGACCACCTTTGGTGGGAAGGTAACAATGTTCCATGCACTTTTGGCATTTAGTCATGCTGGCCACATGACCATGGAGACATCTTCGGACAGTGCTCTTCGGCTTTGAAACAGAGATGAGCACCGTCCCCTAGAGTCGGGAATGACTAGCACATATATGCAAGGGGAACATTTACCTTTACCTTATACTAACACAAGCTCCTTTAGCATCAATTAGAAGCCATAGTTGGGAACAATCTAGAACAAATGAGATTGGAAGTTGATTTTTCGATTCTCTGAAATATTCTTTCACTTTTGCTATTTATAAAGCAATATCATTGAATAGAAGCTACTGTATATACTCGAGTATAAGCCGACCCGAATATAAGCCGAGGCACCTAATTTTACCACAAAAAACTGGGAAAACTTATTGACTTGAGTATAAGTCTAGGGTAGGAAATGCAGAAGCTACTGGTAAATTTCAAAATAAAAATAGATACCAATAAAATTACATTAATTGGGGCATCAGTAGGTTAAATGTTTTTGAATATTTATTTCAAAGAAAAACAGTAAACTAGCTCTGTAAGTGCATAGTGTAAACTGCACTATAACTAAATTACACAAGAGAATGTAGTATATATACCAAAAATAATACAATAACAATTTAATCTGATACATTGGGTTAAGTGATGTAGGGCTTGATCTAATTTCAGGGAAATTCAAGCCTCTGTTAAGAGATACCTGCATTCTTTCTGTTTCTCCCTTCCTTTTTCTTCCTTTTTCTTTCTTTCTTTGTCTCTTTCTTTCTTCTCTCTTTCTTTCTTTCTTTCTTTCTCCCTTCCTTTCTCCTTTCTCCCTTTCTGTGAAGAACCCCAGAAGGTCTTTGGTAGGAGGAAGAAAAGCCAGACATTTTGAAACGTTTTGTAGCTTACCCTGAGCAAGGATAGCTAGTGCAGGCACTTACAATAAGCTCACTGAACTCAAGTTCAGTGAATTTAGGGATCCCCAAACAGTGAGGATGAAGTGTGAGTAAAAGGGTTTACCCTTCCCTCCCTCCCCACCCTCTCTCTTTCTTTCTTTCTCCTTCCCTTTCTCCTTCTCATCTGGCATTCTTAGAGCTCCACTATTGATTAGCTTAGCCTGAGCAAGGATAGTTAGCAGCCAGCCTATTACAATAAGCTCTCAACTCAAGCTCAGTGCACATGGAAATCTCCCTAAACAGTGAGGATTTCTTTGTTTCTTTCTCCCTTGCACCCCCCCCCCCCACAGCCCATTTTTGCTTCCAGGGGGCTGCAGGGAGTCTTGCTAGGCACCCCCACAGGGCCCATTTTGGCCTTAGCAAGCCTCCCTGCAGCCCCTGGAAGCCAAAACGGGTTGCAGGAAAAAAGGCATTTTTTCCTCACTCGAGTATAAGCCGAGGGGGGCTTTTTTCAGCATAAAAAATGTGCTGAAAAACTCGCCTTATACTCAAGTATATACGGTATTTGTAGTTTAAATATTAGCATTTTGAACCATGTTTAAGAGGACTGAATAGTCTTGCGCTGGACCATTCTTACCCTTCTGGTTTGAAATTTTCCCTTTTGCACATGGAAGGCAATCATAACAGCAAAATGGCTTCCCTTCTATTTTCATCTTTCTGTATCCTGGATAGCAATTGTCATTGCATACAGAAAGCGGCTGAACCTATCAAGAAGTGAAAGCAGGGTTTATTACAAGGCATGCATTTTTCTTCATAATATTCTATTTCAGTATGGATTTTACTTTTACATAATAAATGTTGGATGTGGATGTTCCAAAATCTCCTTGATTTAGAGAAATTATAGTGAATTACAGGTAATGAGAGCTAGAGTCAAAGGTGAAGGTGGGTAACCTAAGAATTGGAGAGGTGAAGATAGCATCATTTGGCCAGGCAAAAGTCAAGATCCAGAAGAAATTAGTTAGAAATAGAGATGTATATATTTTCTTTGAGTTTCAATTTCTTTCTTTCCTTTTGCCCCCAAAAGGACCAGAGGTTCTGTCTCAACTAGGGTTAACATGATCATTGATATGGGATTCCTGATGTCTTTTTGCTTCCCAGCCATATCAGACAAGTAAACACCATGTAGGATACGACCACGTTTAATGTAAGAGTCCAGTCAAAAGCATAAACTATCTGGGGTCCTTTTCCAATGAAAGAGACATAAATTCAACCTCAAACTAAGACCCATTGATGCTTATCTTGGGCCAAATTGTCTTGGCAGTAATAAGATCACATTCTTGTTCATAGATAGCACAAAATAAATTTTTAGTACTTTTGAACCTCATCTTTGAACCTGACTTCTTGCCCCTGACAGCTAATTGCCGTTTTCTGATGGTCATATCTTTCAAGTATTGATGGAAAAAAAGAAAATTAGCAGCAACAATTTTATCCTTCTTTACTGGCTTGATACTTGGTACTCTTTACTTACTGATAGATGGTCTGCAGAAGACATGTAGAGGACATTAACATTAGAAAACAAACCAACAGCAACTTTATAAAGAAGATGAAGGATCGGGATATTTCAGTGGTTATTTTGATAAATCAGTCAGTTCAAATGACTGAATTATTTCCAATCGTTTGGAAATAAGGACTCTGAGGCTGAGCAAGAAAGAAAAAGATCGATCCCAGTAGTTGTAAATGATTTTCAGAGAACTAAAAAAAGAACTCAATAGGTTGAAAGAAGAACGAGTCAATCTCCTGAATTTAATAGGGATGGCTTCCCAGATACAATGATTAGCAAAATGGAAAATGTGAGAATCAGGATTCAAGGAAAGGGAAGACTAGAGAAGAAAAACTCTGTTTGACAAGGCTGAAGAAGAATAGGAAGACAACGGATTAGCTGAAAGGAAGAGATCAAAGCAATTTCTTGAATATCTGTGGAGTGATGAGTTATTATATCAGAATGGTGATCAGAATCCATATAGTGATTGTTGTTTCAGCAATAATAACATTCTATAAATATGTCTCCTTCTTTAAAATTAAAATAACTTCAAATTGCATGGAATCTGGAAATACAATTTGAATCAAATCAGTGTCACTGTTTATTAATTAGTTAAGGATTTTCCAAAAAGTACCCTGTTATATTATGGAACGTCTGCAGCATATGCAATAGTCATTAAACTGTACCCTTTAAATTCAGCCTACCTTGAAATCCTATCAAAAACAGACAGCAGCAATTGAATTAAGTTATTGTTGAAATCTATATTGATGAAAACAAGATGGGAAGGGAAAGAAAGTGCACAGTTTGAAATCTGAGCAGGAAATACCTGGTTAAACATGGCAGGCCAGATGATGTCCTCTGTAGAAATGACAACTAGTTTATCCGGAGAATTGGTTGGGTCGATCTTTCCAACTCTGACTTTAACAAAGCTCTTGTTTGGGAAGGTGACCCAGTTGATAATATCAAATCCAGTGTTCAAGTCTCCATTTTCATTAAAGGAGACTTGCTGTCCTGCAGTGTTATTAAATGAGATGGTTTTCAAATAGTGGTGGAGCTAAACAGAAGCAATGGCAGAAAATTAATGGGAAAAAAGGAAGGAAGGATAGCAGTGTAATTAAGTTGTAGGTCATCCATTTACTATAACTGGACATATCAATAGATGTCTACACCTTCTTATCTTTCTTGGTGACCTCAATCTATCTCTTATTAATTGGACTCTAAACAAATGTAGAACTGAACCCATACATGCAATCCTGTACAATACTGTTCCTAATCTGGGACTGGATCAACAAGTAACTAACAATACTAGACTCAACAACTGCCTTTTTCTCATCATCTGCAACAGTTTAAACTCAATTTATGGTCTACAAATAAAGGAACCTTTTTCCAACAATGACCACAGCATGATTGACTTTTGTCTCAATATACGACCTTACAAAGATCATCATAATGATGGGATCCCCAATTATAACTTTAAAAAAGCCAACTATGATCTCATAGACACCGACCTCTCATCTCTTGATTGACAAATTCTGTTCATTGGCTGTAATACTGCCAAAGACTATTTTAACATTTTTCCCCCTCAAAATCAAAAGAGTCATTAAACTATATATACCAATAATAACCCCCAATACCAGAAAAAACAAATTTCCCATAACAATAAGGAAGCTTCAATCCCCCCCCCCCCCAAAAAAAAAAATCTCTGGTGAAAAAACAAAACTGGCTATACAGCTAACTTTAAAAGCCGCTACAAAACCTTATGCTGCCAGAATCAATTACCACACTAAACAAGAGGAAAACCTACTACGCACGAAATCTACCCACGCTTTCTATAATTTTGTGAACAACAAACTTAAAGACTCGAGATCCATCCCACCCCAAAAAGGACCTAATGGTAAAGATTGTAATGATGAAGCCATTAAAGCCAACCTCTTTAACACTTTCTTTGGTTCAGTCTTTGTAAACAGCAATGGCTCATGCCCCACATTTCCTAGTTGTACCACAACTAATTGCAACGATCAACTACATATCGATTTTACAGAAGATAACATTGAAAAGGCACTATGCAGCCTAAAACCATCTCTATCTATTGGACCTGATGGATTACGTACCTACTTCTTAAAAAAACTTTCCACTACCATAGCAGAACCTCTAAGCATAATCTATGAAAAATCTTTCAGGACCAGCTCCTTACCCAACCTATGGTCACTAGTCACGGTCACCCCTATTTTCAAAAAGGGTGAGCCCAGCCTAGTTGAATATTATAGACCAATCTTTTTATGTTGCATCAGCTGCAAAGTCATGGAATCAATCATAAACCAATCCATTACCCTCCACTTAGAGACAAACAACCTACTCTCTAACATACAATTTGGTTTCAGGAAAAAAATATCCTGTAATCTGCAACTCCTACACTGCAAAAAACATATGGACTACAGAACTCGATTAGGGCAAAGCAATAGACACAGTTTATATTGACTTCTGTAAAGCCTTTGATTCAGTAGTACATGACAAACTACTTCTAAAACTAAACTCTTATAGCATTTCTGGATCCCTGCATAAGTGGATAGCTGCATTCCTATCAAACAGGCAACAAGTACTCAAAATCGGGAGTGCCCTATCAAACCCTGCATCTGTTAACAGCGGTGGCCTCCAAAGCAGCATTCTAGGACCAATACTCTTCATACTATACATAAATGACTTTTGCAGTCATATTATAAGCAACTGCATTCTCTTTGCTGATGATGTAAAACTATTCAACACCACCGACAATGCTGCTAAGAGACTTTGACTATGTATCAGAATGGTCAACCAATTGGCAACTTCAAATCTCAACCAACAAATTGGCAAAATAAATAAATAAATAAATAAATAATAATAACCCAGAACCCAAAATACAAGCTGGGTGAATAAGACCTCATAGAAAACTCTCACTCTTTCTAGGACCTTGGAGTACTCATCTTTAATAATCTAAGTGCCAGAGCTCACTGTAATAGCATTGTCAAAAAAGCATTATGAGTTGTTAACCAAATCTTGCAAAACTTCTTCTGGTAATATTATACTGCAAAGTAAGGCATACAAAACCTTTGCTAGACCAATTCTGAAATACAGTTCATCTGTCTGGAACCCGAACTGCATATTGGACATTAATACAATTGAGCAAGTCCAGAGATATTTCACAATTAGAGTCCTCCTCTCCTCTGCACACAACAGAATACTTATGCCACCAGGTTTGAAATTTTGGGCTTAGATAATTTAGAACTACTCTGCCTTCAGTCTGACCTAAACATAGTACACAAAATTATCAGCTACAACGTCCTGTCAATGACTACTTCAGCTTCAACTGCAACAATACACGAGCACACAATAGATACAAACTTAAGGTAAACTGCTCCAAACTTGATTGCAGAAAGTATGACTTCAGCAACAGAATGGTCAATGCCTGGACCATTCCAGGCAATGGAATGCACTACCTGACTCTTTGGTTTCATCCCCTAACCCCCATAACTTTAACCTTAGACTGTCTCCTGTTGACCTCACCCCATTCCTAAGAGGTCTGTAAGGGGTGTGCATAAGTGCACCAATGTTCCTACCATCCCTGTCCTATTGTCCCCATTTATTCCTATCCATTTCCTGTATTCATAATCACATTTATACTTATATCCGTTATCTTATCCATGCTTGACAAAATAAATAAAATAGAATAAAGTAAAAATAAATGTTATTCCTCCAACACTCATCCTGGTTTCTTCTCTGCCACAGAGGTTTGAAGATCTGACAAGCACATAGATTCTGCAGTATCTAAACCCTTTCCTCAACATTGTTATAGGTTTGTTATCTATTCACCATTGCAAATTTTTTTAAATCTTGGAAAGATGAGGAAAATGGAGAGATAGGAGACTTAAAATCTTTATTCCAGTGTTTTCATACCCTTTGTTCTGCAGCTCATGGAATTACAGAGAGAACTGCAATGGGAAATGTTCATTCATTCTCTAATTACCTGCCATGCTTTTTGAGTCAGAAATGTTTCTCTCCCAACTTCTCTTATTCTGTGTTTCAACGTGGGGGAAAGCATGGCTTGTAAAGCATGTGCCACAGCATAGACTGTATTATAGATGCTGTAACTCTGCCCAGTCAGGGTGGTGTCAAACACAGACTTAGGTACATTCTCAAACTTCTCTTCTCCAGTGCACGGCTTCCCAGCATCTTCATCTAAATTATCTTTAGGAAAAGAACATTCAAAAACCTGTTCCCAAAACACTCTAAATAAATGGTCTTCCTCTACTGAAGTTGGCTTTATCATCTGAAGGAATTTATTGAATCCAGGGATCTCATTGGAAGAAACTTCAAAAGTTATAGCACCATGGAAAGCATCCATATTCAACATTTTGAGAAGGGAAACTGATGTAAACTCCATCTGAGCTGGCATTATCCAAACTTTATCTTCTCTCTTGACTGGTATCTCTATCAAGTCTCCAAAATAGGGCACCATTGTAATAGTAAAAGTGTAATGGTTTTCACAATATATGAAAATCACTTTGGCAGTGCTCTTCATGACAGTCATGAATAATTTACTGAAATCATTCATTATACTTTCAACATGATTGGTAAATGTTGGCTGGACTGTTTGTTGAATGAAGTCAAAGCAGATGCCTTTCTCAGAAAACAAAGTAACAGCATTTTGTATTAATTGTTCACCACTCTTTTCAGGTTGGAAACTCAGTCCAATCCATGTCCACTGTAAATACATCAGAAGCTGGAGAAGACCTACAATCTCTTGCTCACCATTTGGGAAAAATCGATGATAGAAAATATCTTGTGTCTTGCCATCTGTCGCTGGAGAAGATCCATAAATGAGCTAAACAGGGGAGAAAAAGGGAACATGGTTTTCCAAAATGAAATATTCATTCTTATTTTTGAAAATTCTATTCTTAATTTATTTATTTTTGTTGCAAATATTGAAAGTTATCTATTCATGTTCAGAAAGAATTTGCAGAATTTTTATGCAACAGCTCTTAATGTAGTTTATGTTCAAAGGGAGAATCATCAGAAATGCATTAATTCGGGACATTTTTACCACAGGCTTTCAGGTCTAAAGCTTCTAGATCCTAATTAAGAAAGGAAACCCATATCTACATTTCACTGGTTTTCTCCTCATAGGAAATAGAAGAAGTTTGAAGAAATAAAAATCATGATGTCTTAATCTTAACCTATGAAGATAAGATAGGACGAGCAATTGAAGAATATAGTTTGGGTAAAATATGTACCGCATCCCTCTTCCAACTTTGCTTAATTTTTATCTCATAATCTTTATGTATCCTGATATGAATGCATACCAATATGGATGCTTGTATGGATATAATTTGCAATCCAACAAGTACTGAACAGGCACAATCATTTAACCCCTTCCTATTTAATTGTTTCATATATATATATATATATATATATATATATATATATATATATATATATATATATTTGTAATCTGCCTCCTACTATCCATTGTATTCTATCTGAATTTCAGAAAAGTACACTACAGATCAGAAGTAGAAAATATACAGCTCCCTAGCAATCAACATTGGCAACCAACATATTTCAGAGGTCTGAAATACAACTAATGCTAAATCTTTGGATGCATTCCTCATTTTCAGAATTTGGCAGAGGCAAAAATAGTATCTTATGCTTTAAAGTGATTTAATGCTATCACATTCAAGTTGATACAGAAACCCTGATAAAACATTCTAGCGGATGAAATTGCCCATGTCTACCTGGGATTTAATAATCCATTGATTACTCTAATTTCAGAAGGAGGAGGAGAGGAAGAAATATATAATAATTATAACCACATTCTTAAAATACCACAACACTCTGTATTTAACAAATATTAGCAAGTATATGTAATATGTATTATAGTAAATCAGTCAGCTATCTTTTACTTCAAGTAGTTTTCCTAAATACTTCATGAATTTTACAGTATAGTGAAACAACTATCTTTGGATAAGTTATAAGATAAAATAAATAGAGCCTTTTATTTGAATTTCTGTGCAATTTTGATTCACTTGTAGCAAATCACTACATTGTTACTTAAGTAATCATGAAAAATTCATGGAGAGGAAGGAAGGAGGGAAGGAAGGAAGGAAGGATATTCTGTACTATAAAGATCAAGATAACTATTCATATTACTTCATCAAGTCCAGGAATCTTTTACTTCATTATTTAATTATGGTAATAAAATGGATACAGTAAATGAATAGATAGATATTCCTATAGAATTTAATAAAAAATAAGTCAAGAAATCAAATATATTAATTGATTCAGATTCAGATTCTTATTGAGGAATACATCTAGCAGAGTACCAAAAATATCAATTTCATCTACAAACTCATAGTTCGTTCATTCCTTTTTGGGTTGCCACTATATTTCCAAATCAAAAAATGTAACGTAAACAGGGGGGAAAAGATTATTTGTTGCTGTTTGTTAAAAATAAATTTAATAAAAGTTAAAAAAGGGGGAGTACTTTTAGACTTGCAAGATTCTTCTTTGTAATCTTGTAATGCAATGTAATTCAGGATTTTGTTTCCTAGTCTGGAGAAACTTAAGAGCCGACATCAACCTTGGAAACTGGAGAGCATTTGGTCTCGTCTGCCTTTATGTTCCAAAGAATGAAGTTTGTGTGGTGGATTTAATCTGTTGACGTTTTCTCAGATTACACTTCTGATTTAGGCCCAGATTACTTTTATCAGAATGTTGAATAGATAGAATAGAATAACAGAGTTGGAAGGGACCTTGGAGGTCTCCTAGTCCAACCCCCTGCTTAGGCAGGAAACACTACACCACTTCAGACAAATGGTTGTGCAACATCTTCTTAAAAACTTCCAGTGTATAAGCATTCACAACTTCTGGAGTCAAGTTGTTCCATTGATTAATTATTCTAACTGTCAGGAAATTTCTCCTTTGTTCTAGGTTGATTCTCTCCTTGGTTAGTTTCCACCCATTGCTTCTTGTCCTACCCTCAGCTGCTCTGATTGCAGCTCTTCCTCCTGCCTTTATCCTTACAATCTTTTACACTTTGTTCAAACAAACCTTACCTGAGGCATCTTATAGATATTCAAGATATTTGCCATGAAGGGAAAGATGGAAGACGTAGGTCCTGCAATCACAGAAACTATCCAGTCCTTGACATCACACTTATAGTTGGGTATGAATCTGTCCCGTGTTGAGAGAAGCTCCATTGAAGCCAAGTAGGTCCATTTTGCCATGAAATAACTATTAGAGATTTGAATACCCAGACTGATGTTGGATAATATATTACTGTCTTCATTTATCTCCTTTAAAGCAAAAACCAAGGCCAGGATATGTTGATAGTTCTGAAGGAAATATCTGTGATGAGAGATATATTACAAATCATATTTCTTTTCCTGAAGAATGTGACATTACACAACTACCAAATATAGCAATGGAAGAATATGAAAACTGATCACATCATTGTATAGTAGTGGAAATATTTTGCAAAGATTTTTTCAGTGTCTAAAAACATTTTTTATGAAATGGAAAATGCTCCTGGGATTTTCACTAGGAAATAGATGAATTTCTTGAAAGAACATTCATAATCTTTTAAAACGTATCTGCAACTCTTAGACATACTTCTAGTCTTTTAGCTTTAACTCCTCCAACTTCTTCTTGCATGTTTTTTTTTTTTTTGGTGGGGATAGGCATGAAGGATGTGCTTTGAAATACAATTGAGGGCAAATGTTATATATAATTCTCTGTGGGGGGAATCATGATAGACCTTCAGAGGACTATTATCATAAGAAAAGATGTAGAGGTTTCATTAGGAAAGACTGACATTTGTACTCCATGCATGCTCAACAACTGTTTTGAAAGTCATTCAAAGTGCTGTACAGCACAACTGTTCCCCAATATTAAGTGAAACAATTAAACGATTAACACGCAGTTAGTTACAAAGGATGATTTGATAGTAGAGCACAGATGATTCATTTAAACAGTAAGAAAATGGAAAAAATGACTGAGGTGAGAGCTATCGTAAGTGTGTTTGTGTAAAATATTTGTTTGCCCAGTAAGAAATGTCAGTGTAATGAATCTATATTGGTTTTAGAATGAAGGAACTAACAGTGAGAAACAGAATAAATAATGTGTGCTGCAAGTAATACCAGTAATCAGCTATGCCCTATTCGAGAGAGAGAGATTTGGTTTAAGATATACTACTGTTAAGAAATGAAAGTCCTTACACAATCTCATCAACAAGTTCTTCAGATGGGTGCCTTGTGAAAGCAACTGGATCAGATACCATGTAGAATTGAGATAGTATCCCAGCCGTTATGAAATCCCCTGGCAAAAAATACTTGTGCTTAATAAGGGGAGGTTTCCCCACATTGCATGCTTTAGTACAAAGAATAAGGCATGTAATTCCTGACAGCAACACTAACAATATTGCCATCACGTCCATGGAAAATACCATCTTCTTCAAGAGAACATTTTGAACATTAATATGAACCAGATCCACCTGCAACCATGAAAAATAAGAGAAAAAAAATCTCAGTAATTAGACTAGCCTGTATAAATATCCTTTCCTAAAGAGCAAATTGCTGCAAATCACACATTTAATAGCACCTTTCAATCCTGAGCTGTTCTTTGATGTTTGCTCTCAGAATTCCTCAAGGATTTGAGAAGAAGCTACTCTACTTCGAGTCTTTGGGTAATTACAGGGAAGTCAAGGGCCAGTCAGTGAAGCTCCTCAGAGATTTTCAGTAGAAATGAGAATGAAGATATTTATGGTCTGGGAAAAGATGCTCATAACTGAAAATTTTATAGGAGCTAGAGAGAAAAAAAAAGAAAATGCAAATCAACAAATGCTAGTTCTGTAGCTGTAAAGATTTAATTCTTTGGAACAATAGAACTACCCTATTTTCCCCTGTTAGGAAGCACATTAAAGTGTGACTTTTCCAAAAACCCCCCCAAACAAATGGACCCATCCAAAAGACCCAGAAAGAAATAGGATCCCAATAACATTTTTTATTATTTTGAGAGGTCTTTAAGCACTTTCCTTATTGCATTTGTAATTTATTTTTATCATGACATTCCTTTTTAATATTCCCAATGGGAGTACATGGGAACACTCCGTAATGCCAAGTAATAAATAAGCAAATAAAAAGAAATATAATTGTAGACAAGTTTTTAATTAATCCTTTACAGAGTGAATCAATTTCAGAAGAGAAATTCTTAATATTAAGATGGCCCTATTTTTCAACACTGTATTGCAAAATAGTAAAAATATCACTTGGTTCTTTTCACTGATTTCAAATGATTTTTATTCCATATCCTCAAAATCACATGATTTGAACCATTTCTTTTCACGTTTGATGACTGACATGAGTTTCCACCTGCTCAAACAAATCAATTATCTACTATTGATATTTTGTAGCCCTGCAAAAATACCTTTTTGATCACAAAAGAGGGGAAATGGGAAATCATCCTTCCTCTTTAATTGTGAAATCTAAGTGATTTTGTGATTTTGTGAAGGCGATTGAGCCAGTCAGTGGCTTTTGCTATCCAAGCCAGCGCTTCTTCTCCTGCTCCCCTTTCCTCCCCTTGAGTGGTGTGTAACTTGAGATCTAACACCTTGGATTCTCTCTTTTAAACTCTTCCAAGCCATCCTTTTGTTCTCCGCTTCAGCTCCAGGAGCTGCTACCAGCCTCCATCACATCCCATCCCTGGCTGAAGGGGGGCTCAGGAGAACTTCAGCAAGGGTGGCCGGGTGACCCTCGGGGCGGAGACCCCCTTCTTGGCTCCCTTAGCCTCTTTGAGAGCAGCTGTGCAAGCCCAGCCCAGCCCAGTCTA